AGATTACTGGGTACTTGGAGGAGCGGCAATCTGTGGGCTTCGTTGCCTAAACTCTGTGTGCTTCGTTGCCTAAACTCTGTGTGCCTCAGTTTCCCCACTTGTCAAATAGGGTTTATGGTAGTGCCTACCATGCAGGCTTATAGTAAGGCTTATGCAATATGGTTTATGTAAAGTACTTAGAACAGAGCCCTGCACCGTCAGCACTCAGTAAATAACATTCAGCTGTTGTTGGGATGAACTGGGGCTCCCTGGAATGACTTCTTTCTTTGGCTGGGTGGTTTCACAGGAGTGGGGCTGGGAAGGAAGTCAGAATGAGCAGCTCTGCCCATCGGAACATTGCCCACAGCACCCTCCTGGACTCGGATTTTATCATGTGGGGCAGGTGGTAGGGTTTCCTCCTCTGTTGGTGCACCCATCAAAGTGGCGAGCTGGTGTCTCAATACTCACGGGTGATGTGCGCAGAGCCTGCAGGGGGTGTGGGGCACTGCTGTGGTTCAGACCACCTGCAGTCCTGGGACACGGGTGGGCAATGGAGGGAACTTGCTGGAGAGCACCTTGGGTGACTGAGCAGAAGAGCGTGGACTCTGGATGTGTCAGTTGTCTGATGCTATGTGACAAATAACCACAAACTTAACAGCCTGTTGTCTCACACTTTCTGTGGGGCAGGAGTCTGGGTTTGGTTTAGCTGGATTCTCAACTTCAGAATCTCTCATATGTCTGCAACCAAGGTGTCACCCAGGGCTGGGGTCTAATCTGGTGGCTTAACTGGGGAAGGACTCACTTCCATGTTCATCTGGTTGTTGGCAGAACTTGGTTTCTTGAGGGCTCTGCTGCTGTCCTCCCTTCCTAACTAGCTGTTGGCTGGTGGCCACCTTCCGTTCCTAGCTATCCAGCCCTCTGCAACCTGTATGCTCGCTTCATCAATATGTGCAGACCAAGAAGGCAACAGGAAGCTACCAAAACCGAGGTCACACCTGGTTAGAAGCACAAAGCCCACACTTGAGAGTTGCACAAGGGTGTATACCAGGAGACAGGACCCTTGGGGGACATTGTAGAGTCAGCCACTGTACTGGAGAAGGCTTGCTGGTGAGGGGGTGTGTAGAGCTGCATGCATTGATTTGAGAAGAGCCCACTTGTATTTACTGAGTCCCTGCTCTGTGCCTCGTACTGTCCCTGCTGTGGAGACTCAGTGATGAACAAAACAGCCAAAGTGCTATTTTGTGTTACAGGCAAGCATGGGTCTTAGGGTCTGACTGCCAGGTTCAAATCCCAGCCTGTTACTTTCTAGCTGTGGAACCTTGAGCNAGCCTTGCACAGTCTGTTAAACCTGGAGGTTGCTACTGTCATCTCCCATCTTACAGGTGGGAAGACTGAGAGCTCTTCACATATCACACAAGCTAGAGAGAAGTTGAGCTCAAATTTGAACCCAAGTCTGGTCTCTGTGCCAATGCTCCTAAGTTCTATGCTGTGATGCTTTAAAAGAGATTGCTTTTGGCTAGATTACTGGGTACTTGGAGGAGCGGCAATCTGTGGGCTTCGTTGCCTAAACTCTGTGTGCCTCAGTTTCCCCACTTGTCATATAGGGTTTATGGTAGTGCCTACCATGTAGGCTTGTAGTAAGGCTTATGCAATATGGTTTATGTAAAGCACTTAGAACAGAGCCCTGCACCGTCAGCACTCAGTAAATAACATTCAGCTGTTGTTGGGATGAACTGGGGCTCCCTGGAGTGACTTCTTTCTTTGGCTGGGTGGTTTCACAGGAATGGGGCTGGGAAGGAAGTCAGAATGAGCAGCTCTGCCCATCGGAACATTGCCCACAGCACCCTCCTGGACTTGGATTTTATCATGTGGGGCAGGTGGTAGGGTTTCCTCCTCTGTTGGTGCACCCATCGAAGTGGCGAGCTCGTGTCTCAATACTCACAGGTGATGTGTGCAGAGCCTGCAGGGGGTGTGGGGCACTGCTGTGGTTCAGACCACCTGCAGTCCTGGGACATGGGTGGGCAATGGAGGGAACTTGCTGGAGAGCACCTTGGGTGACTGAGCAGAAGAGCGTGGACTCTGGATGTGTCAGTTGTCTGATGCTACGTGACAAATAACCACAAACTTAACAGCCTGTTGTCTCACACTTTCTGTGGGGCAGGAGTCTGGGTTTGGCTTAGCTGGATTCTCAACTTCAGAATTTCTCATATGTCTGCAACCAAGGTGTCACCCAGGGCTGGGGTCTAATCTGGCGGCTTAACTGGGGAAGGACTCACTTCCATGTTCACCTGGTTGTTGGCAGAACTCGGTTTCTTGAGGGCTCTGCTGCTGTCCTCCCTTCCTAACTAGATGTTGGCTGGTGGCCACTGTTGGCTGGTGGCCACCTTCCGTTCCTAGCTATCCAGCCCTCTGCAACCTGTATGCTCGCTTCATCAATATGTGCAGACCAAGAAGGCAACAGGAAGCTACCAAAACCGAGGTCACACCTGGTTAGAAGCACAAAGCCCACACTTGAGAGTTGCACAAGGGTGTATACCAGGAGACAGGACCCTTGGGGGACATTGTAGAGTCAGCCACTGTACTGGAGAAGGCTTGCTGGTGAGGGGGTGTGTAGAGCTGCATGCATTGATTTGAGAAGAGCTCACTTGTATTTACTGAGTCCCTGCTCTGTGCCTTGTACTATCCCTGCTGTGGAGACTCAGTGATGAACAAAACAGCCAAAGTGCTATTTTGTGTTACAGGCAAGCATGGGTCCTAGGGTCTGACTGCCAGGTTCAAATCCCAGCCTGTTACTTTCTAGCTGTGGAACCTTGAGC